AGTGGAGAGGAAAACTCACTTTTAACAGAAGGAAACCTCCAGCAGAACCAGGCTAAATACCAAATTCCGCAGATCATCCTGTTTACCTGCTCAAATGAAGGGAAAATTGTGACCCAATGGCATAAGAACACACATTCCCTGTACTCTCAATTTTAATGCTAGCACTTTTTCAAATAATTTTTTTTCTTTAAAATTAATGGGGTTTTATCTTCAACAGCTTTTAGGTCATGTGACTGACTCACACCAGACTGATATCTGCCGCTATCCTCCTCAGAACGTGGAGTTGGACCGTACTCGGATCAAAGCAAGAAGCTCTGGCAGCGAGCGAGGCAGAACAAGACGGAGTTCACAGACCGTACCCGCTCTGCAGCAAAGAGTGCTAATGGCGGGAGATTGGAGGAGGATAGCGGTAGATATGACCCAGATGAATGACTGGGTCTAGCTCTGGGGTCTAACCAGGAGAAGACTGGACTCCAAGGAGACTACAGCACTGCGGGGAGAGTTTATCTTTGAAAGCTACATGAGAAGGAATAAAGAATCATTTAGCAGTGCATCTTGTTAAAAGCTAAATTAAAGCTGCTTTTTTTAAAAGCCACTCACAAACCCTTAAAGAGCAGCAGCTACCACAGCTCAACTTTATCTCTGTCCTCCATTTTATGGGAAAAAGCTTTATTTCACTGCCCTCTTATTTAGTCATTAGTTGTTTTTTTTTCTGTCTTTAAAGACACACCGCAGACTTTTACCCCGTTTACATTACCCATGAAAAACCGATCCATGCCAAGACCGGTCCGAGCTCGGATCCGTTTACCAGGCTGAGCTCGGTTCTGACGAGCATTTACACATCACGCTATCTCAGTTCCTCGACTCCTCGCCTCCTAGTGACGATCTGCGGTATTACTGCCAGTATTGAAGGAGGAAATCAAGCAGTTGGTGGCGGTAATGCACCAAAAGTTGTTTGCCAACCGCCATAAAACACAAGAAGAAGAAGACGACGGAGGGAATCAAGCAAATCAAAATGGCGACGCCCGTCACATTC